TTGTCGATTTTAAGACTAATGCTGGTGTCTACTTAGCTTTTCGTTCTTGACTGTTCGTATTCCACCCGACTTTAGGATGGTTCGTTACGAGACCTTTGCTGTTTGTTGACTTTATTTGATCCGGGAGTTGTGGGTCCTGTGATTCGCTGCCACCACGCCAGTAAACGAGTCAACGCGTAACGATAAACAGCCTTTAATAGTAGTGAACGAGTAAAAAGGCAACAAGATGGCTGACCGACAAATAATAAACAACAAGGCGTTCCATGCGTGCGCATGGTCATAATGATAACTGTCCGCAGACCTATTAGTCTGCTGGCGCAGTAAGTTTTACTGTCCCTCGACCGCTGATGTTTCCCTCAGCTTCGCTTCGGGACACATCAGCGGTCTCGGAACCACGAAACATACTGTTTCCCTCGGTTCCAGTAAATAAGTGTTAAATGTATATCCCGTCGGCCCCTCCTATGCATAACTATATACTATATAAAATTTGGAAAAAGAAAATCGCAGATGAGGGTGTGAAATCTTCCACCTAAGTTGCCAAAATCACAAAGAAATCCCAAGCAAGTTTTCTGATTTTTCTTAAAAATCTCGTCTCTAAATAGCACATTTCAAAAACAAATTTCGCATTGTTTGTCTTTTTAGAAAACACAACTTTTTACCGGAAGAAAAAATGAATCGTAAATCGGAGAATTATGCAATGCAAAATACTTTGATCGTCACGGAAAGATTCATTATCTATTTGTTACTGCACTTTGGTTTCCGGTGAAAATTTTCATTTTGCCTTTTAAAAATTAACTGTAGAAAGTTTGATAGCAATTGGTTGGGTTTAAGATACGGATAAAACAGGATAAGATTTTTACGGTCACTTTGCAGTTTTCATCGAAATTTAGCCCAAAATCTTGGCCACAATCGCTATTCTTTGTCAAACTTGCCGCTATATTGTCTTGCATATTGCATTGCATAATACTCTACGAAATCAAAACGATTCAAAAAAGTTACGAATATCTTTGGAAATGAAAGTCCCATGTGCCCTTCTTTTTTACGCGAAATTTGCAATGTAATCCCGTAGCGACGCTGAACTCAGCATGCGGGCTTTCCTGTAATGATCTGCATAATGTGAGCCAGACCGTCTTGCATTTGAACATAACTCATACCGAAAACATCTGAAATACTCAATGTCGCTGTCTCTAGTGCTTATATCAAGCTATATTTTAGTAATCAACTATTGTATTACTAAATGGAGAATGTTCAACAGCTCTAAACGAAAAATATTCTCGTATTCCAGGTACTGAACGGCATGATACATTGAACTCAAAACATAAATTAAAACGATCAAACTGTGAAATGTTATCTCGTATTTCATAAACAAAGCAATTTGTTCCGCAATTTTCTTCTTAGATACGAAGTTCTCGATTGGTTTTTAAGTAGAAATCGAACTTTTCATATTTCAAAACATTTCCTAGCATTTAGTTATGCCTAAAATAAACAAAGCAATTTGTTCCGCAATTTTCTTCTTAGATACGAAGTTCTCGATTGGTTTTTAAGTAGAAATCGAACTTTTCATATTTCAAAACATTTCCTAGCATTTAGTTATGCCTAAAATAAACAAAGCAATTTGTTCCGCAATTTTCTTCTTAGATACGAAGTTCTCGATTGGTTTTTAAGTAGAAATCGAACTTTTCATATTTCAAAACATTTCCTAGCATTTAGTTATGCCTAAAATA